AGGGGGGGAATCTTCTTTGTCACACCGCCTGCGTTCTGCTTGCGTTTGGAAATGCATGGCAACAACGTAGTGTTGCTGTTTTGAAGCCATAGAAAAATTATGCAAATCAACCCCAAAGCAAGCGATCGCCTTTTGAAATGGTAATGCTCTATTCATTAAGTACTTATTGGAAAACTAGCCGCTTTCCACCCCAGCCCCCTTCAACCACTATCCTTCCCCCATTTTTTTTTTTTTTTTTTTTGCAAGAAAAGCAACACTTATTTCTTTGGAAGAAGAGCAAATTAAGGAGAAAAGAAGACAAACACGACGCGGGGTATTTAAACTGTCTAGATATTTGGGGGGGGGGGTTTCCCCTTCACTATTCCCTTTAATATATTGATAATTCTTTACTGCACCTGGGATGTGTTCTCCATCCCATCTCCTACTCTGAGCCCGGCGACTGCAAGAATCCAGTTTCAGACACATTATTAGCAGGAAAATCTCTCGGGAATCGCTGGAACCTGCTCCCAGACCCACCCTCCCTAACCATCTCCCGGCCCCACGCACGCACAGGTTCCATCGTAATTTCATTCCCATCCTGCACCAGCGGGAACATGAATGATGGGAATTGTAGTCCAACACACCAGAAGCAGCAATGGGAAAAAAAAAACATTCTTGATGAAGGACTTTGGGATGCTGGCCAGGGTAGCGATGGAGACGGTTGCATCCCCCCCCCCTCCCCCAATTGCATTTGACTCCAATCGTCATATTCGGTGGTTCGAAAAGAGAAGGAGAGGGCAAGGGCATTCCTCGTTGTAGAGCCCATTTCCCGTATGCAATTCGAGGAGATTTCAATATTTGGAATACACACCGCCTCTCCGAAGTGTCAAAAATGAAAATTAAAAAAAGAAACGGGAGGCTCCTTCCTTTTTTTTGCTTAGTATAGAAAAAAAAGGGAAAGCTGAGGGGGGTGGTGGTCTCAATTTATTTTGCAGCGCCGACCTGCCAAGGGCGTCGAGAATAAGGAGAGTCTGGAGGGGGGAACGGGTTGGGGCAGGGGTCTTTCAAAGACAACCGGTCGACTTTTCGGCCCTAAAGGTTGTAACTGAATGGGAAGCGGTTGACTTAATTCCAAAGCGCGTTCGAATCCCAGGCGTTCTAGGCCAGCGCTTCCCAGCCTCGGTCGCTTGAAGAGGGGCGGACTTCAATTCCCAGAATTCCCCAGCCAGCATTCGCTGGCTGGGGAATTCTGGGAGTTGAAGTCCGCCCCTCTTCAAGCGACCGAGGCTGGGAAGCGCTGTTCTAGGCAAGGGGGGGGCGAGTTTATGCTTGAGCTACACTTCATGTTTTGTCTAAATTCATCCACTGATACTGCTTCTTTGCTGTTACTATTTAAAATGCAGATAGACGTCAAGCTACCAATGTTATGAGCGGGTGGACTTACTGCCTGGATCATTGCATCGCAAAAGACAAGGGAGGGTGATCTTCCAGCAGTCAAACGTAAGGGCGTGGAGCGAAGAATGATTGGTGGCGCATCTGGAACCAAATTTCCCGCTTTTGTGGGAAGAGGTAGAAAGTGCCAGGCGCTGGGTTTGAAGGAAGCTAGAAAGCAGATTGCTAGCAAGTCGCCTTAGCTCCGATCCCCCAAGTGCGCGGGTTCGATTTTGCCCCCTTCGGTAATCGATCGGACTCGAGGGAAGCTTCAGCCACAATTTGTAAATCCACCTGTCACTTTTAAGTTGTTGGGTTTTTTTTTCCCCTCCCGTGGAAACCTCAGGTCACCCTCCCCGCCATCTGCTGGATGATGAAAGCAAATTGTTGCTTCCGAACAGCTTCAGCGACCAGGCGAGGATATTGTGGTGTTCTTTAGATCTTAGTCCCCGAGTTAAGTCACTGGGCGGAAAGACATCCCGTCGAGATGCCCCGCGTTGTGCCTGTGCAGAATGGCTGAGGGACGCCAGTCGTTTTACACCGTTTCTTTATACCCCGTAATTCATGGCGATGCCGCGAAGGCTGGCCGCCTCCGCTAAGTGACCAGAGTGGCTTTTAGGGCCAAGCGGCAGGCCGTAAGGACGACCCTCCAGTAAGGAGCCGTTTCCTTTAAAGTCAGTCTGGATGGGCTATGGACGGCAGGGAAAACGGGGTAAATGGAAAGAAAGGCCACACCGAGTCCCTCAAGTCCCCTCACCCAAAATTAATTGCAGACGAGCGCGCACACACACATACACACTCCAGTTCGATTTCCCCAGTTCATTGATGATTATATATATAACATCAATTCGGTGTCGATTCTTAGCGACCACATGGATTTCTTTTTTCTCCAGCATGAAAAAAATCCTCCAGGTCAGTGATAAAATAGAAGGAGGTGGAGTTCCTTTGCTACCCTAAAGAGGACCAGGGGTTGAGGCGAGGTTTTGGAAAGAATTACTTGAGGTTAGGAATAAAAAAAAAAAAACCGCCCCGATGGAAAGTGTCTATGGATTAATTGCACACATCGCGCCTCTTTTCACTGGAATAGAGACTGCTTCCTGCAATGTCATTGCCCGCGCCCTAGGAAACTCAGATGAATGCTCGCCTTTTTGACCGAGACACGGCTACAGCTGCTCGCTTAGATTTCACGAACCCTACCCTAAGCACGTGTCCTAGCCTAGTCCAAATGGGAGTTGCGCTCTACACCTGGAATTTGACTCGGCTTTACGCAGCCTCCGTTCAGTTTACGCGATGGAGGCAAAAAGCTTAGCTTCAAGCTGCTGTTGGGTTTAGGATCGCACGCGTCCCAAACACTTCTTGGGTCCGGGAGGCATTTCCTCGCAAGCCAAGTCTCTCGCACTGCAGCGAATCTCCACCACCACCACCACCACCACCCCCCACGATCGCAAGTCTCTCGTCCTTTATTAGGGCGGCGAGGTCCGTTGGAGGCCTCCGTCCGGGGCTGGTCTGCAATGGGACGAAGCCACAAGCCAATTGTCAAAGCCTCAGCCTGGTGCCAAGGGGGAATGCCTTTAGTTTGGCGGCGGCGGGCGGGCTGGCTGGCAGGCCGGCCTTCTCCCCTTCCCTTTACGCCTCCTGCCTCCCTCGCGGGCAGCTCTGAAACTACGTGACGCTATATAACCTCCTGCGCCGGGAGAGGGGGGGGACAGAGGGGGTGGAGAGAGGAAGACAAGAATGCATTTCGTGGCTCGGCGTCCGGCCAGCTTCTTCAGTTGCAGCCGCTGCGCTCCACCGCTGGGCCTCAAGCCACCAGCGCGCGATTTTCTCCGAGCCGCCGCCGCCGCCGCCGAGGGGGAGGCGGGATTTGATTTGATTTTTGTTTTCCCAGAGTCCCGCCCAAGTCCTTCCTTCTCTCCTCGGTGCCATCTGGGAAGGAGCCGGGCGAGGGGCGTGTCTTCCCGCATATGCAGATGAGTCGGCGTGACGGACAGCTCGCCTTGCCAATGTCCCTCCGAAACTCCTTTCCCCCACAAACTCCTCGCCTTCCCAAGCTCCTATGCCTGCTCCAAAATCCAAGACTTGTCGCAGGCGCTGGGGGGGAAAAGCTCGCCTTGCCTTACTGGCGGGCTGCGAGCGCGGGAGGGAGGGAGGGAAGAATTGCGGAGCCGGCGGAGACCGCTTACCCGGGGCAGCCCGGTCGAGGCTGGTTTTTCCTCCCGCGCTCCTTTATTTTTGACCTCTTCCCTGCCGGGGTTTGGGGAGACGCCCCCTCTTCCCTCTTCTCTCGCTTCCCGCGCGCCTTTCTCGCCCAGATGCCCACCGCCGCCACCTCCTCCTCCTGCAGCAGTGGGTGACTTCTGCGTGGGAAAGGAGGAGAAGGAGAAAGAGCGCGCGCGCGCGCGCCCAGAAAGAGCGAGCGGCTTCCCTCCGCCTCGCGCCAGGCTCTCCTTTTGGCTCCGGCTCCTCCTGCCTATGGAGCGGACGCTGTGAGCTCCTCCGCGGCCGGAGTGCTCAGCAGCAGCAGCAGCGGCGGCCGAGGCGGCGGCAGCAGCCCAGCCGCTGAAGTGCCCGCCGTCCTCCACTCCGCCCGGCTCAGTCCAGGCCCCCCGCTTCCCTTCCTTTTGCCCGCCCGCTGACAGTCGGCCGGCCAGCTATGTCCTACCCTCAGGGCTACCTCTACCAGCCCCCGGGCTCGCTGGCGCTCTACTCCTGCCCGGCTTACGGGGCGTCGGCGCTGGCGGCGCCCAGGAGCGAAGAGCTGGCCAGATCGTCTTCCGGCTCGGCGTTCAGCCCTTATCCCGGATCCGCGGCGTTCACGGCCCAAGCGGCAGCCACCGGCTTCAGCAGCCCGCTTCAGTACTCCACCGACCCGGCCACGGGATTCCCCTCCTACATGGTGGGTAACTGACGAGCGAGCGAGCGAGCGAACGACCCGCCTCGGCGCCATCCTTCACCATCGCCGCCGCCTCCATCTTCCTCCTCCTCCTCCTCCTCCTCCTCATTCATCGCTCCCCCCACTCGTATCTCCGAGACCCATCTGGGCTAGGCTGCGGGATCGTGTGAATGTACCCCGAGCTGAGCTCACCGTGTGTGAACCGTGGAAAGGAGGGAGCAGCTGTCTTCCCCTCGCTGGCTTTTCTCTTTCTGGAAGCTTTTCTCTTTTTTTGTTCTTCGGTTGTGCCATCTTTCGCTGCCTTTTCTTTTCTACTTTTCCTTTCTTCGTTTCTTTTCCTTTTCTCTCCTCTTTGTATCTGGGTTTTTACAAACTTCCCCCTCCTTTTTCCTCTGTATTTTTTTTTTTTATTATTTATTTATTTTGGCTCCCTGGATTCTGCTTTCCCACTTTCCTTTCTCTTTTATGTTTTCCACTATTTTCCTGTTAAGTTTCTTCTTCTTCTGTTATTTGTCTCTCTTTGTCCACTTTTACTTCTGATTGTGTAATTTTACAGTGCCGACGTTCCACTGATTTAAAGGAGTCCAAGCGGAGCGTGTGTGCGCGCGCGCGTGTGTGTATGTATGTGCGTGTGTCCTCGCGCTCTTCTTTTCACGCAGCTTCGGGCAGATGTCCACCACTTCCCGATTGCTGCAAAGTATGTTAATGTCGGCGTTCGTGCGTATTTTGTAGCTATTGCAAACCGATGAAGGATTAAAGATAGCAGAGCCAATTGGTCCTGGGAAAGTGGGGCGAAGGGTTCGGTTTTCTTTCACTACACACGAGATATCAGATCCAACGTCTTTGGCTGGACTCTCTCTCCCTCCCTCTTTCTCTCTCCCATAACCTTCGCCTTTTCTCCCAGCCCGGCGATCTTTATTTAGGATAATGAGAGCCCCATCTCAAATGCTCCTCTGTTTGACTTTCTCGTGGCAAAAGAAAAGCACCCGCAAGTTGCCAAGTTTTTTCTTTTTTTTTCTTTTTTTCCCCCCTCTCCATGGGTTATTTAAGAACATTAGGTAGATTTGTAGCGTATTGTAGTTTTCTTTCCTGGACCGGCTATAAAACTTATCAAGTTGCTCAACTAATTTCCTTCCCTTCTCCCTACTCTCGTATTATGCAGACTTTAAATCAGCGTAATTTAAACATTTAAAGGGTGAATTAAAATGCTAATTATATCGTATTTGACCAATTCGAAACGGTGCATATCTCCTGGTTTGCAAATTGGATTTGCAATGCATTAGCGGACTGAATTGCTAAGTGGGGTTTTTTTGTTGTGTCTCTCTTCCTATCTCTCCCTCCCCGCCCCCCGCCCCCCCCCCCGCCGAGCAAAAAGAAAAATATCTTAGCCGTTCCTGTAGACACGGAGGGGAAAAGTAGAAAAGAGGTCTTTAGAGAGGGAAATAAACTAATGTGTTAAATAAATTGAAACTTACGAAATGAACATTTCAGCGGTTTTTCCAGGAGGCGAAAGGAATCCGATTCCAATCTCACCGGGGCTTTTTTTTTAAATAAAGGAAAATGCATAGGAGTGTTCCAAAAAAATAAATCATTATATATAGTTCTCTGTTCCGTTCGCTTTTGTAATATTAATCGTATATTCGTGCCGACCACCAGCTGTAGAAATAGCTGAGTAAACCCTTTGCTTTGGCGCCTGGCAGGGTTCTCCTTACGACGCCCACACGACGGGCATGAGCGGGGCCATCAGCTACCATCCCTACGGCAGTCCAGCCTACCCCTATCAGCTAAATGACCCGGCCTACCGGAAGAACGCCACGCGAGACGCCACGGCCACGCTGAAGGCCTGGCTGCAGGAGCACCGCAAGAACCCGTACCCGACCAAAGGCGAGAAGATCATGCTGGCCATCATCACCAAGATGACCCTCACGCAGGTCTCCACCTGGTTCGCCAACGCCCGCCGGAGGCTCAAGAAGGAGAACAAGATGACTTGGGCGCCGCGCAACAAGAGCGAGGACGAGGACGAGGACTTGGAAGGGGAGAGCGGCGGGATGAGGAGCAAGGAGGAGACCGGCTCGGACAAAGGGCGGGACGGCAACGAAACGTCGGCGGAGGACGAAGGTGAGAGCCGGACCGGGGAGGAAGTTGGCGGGCAGCCCGTTTCGGGACCGTTCCGTTTTTGGGTTCAAAAGAACGGAGAAGGCAGCCTCGGAGCGAGGCCAGGGGGAGGTCTTCAGCGGCCGCCTCTTTCTCACGGCCTTTAGGCTCTTCCAGTGTAGCTCCCCCATCCACACACACACACCCCAATCCGCGCAGCACTAAGCTGAAGTTTCTGTAGTTTAACGCTCTCCCACCGGTCGGGCCTCGTTTAGTGCATTAGATAGAGGAGCGGGAGGAATAATGGTAGCAGTGCTGGGGTTGTTAACGCTGCGTTTCTAAGAGCTTTAGGAATACAGTGTCTGCAGGCGGCAGGAAAGGTCGGCCTTGCAACTAAGAGGCGCAAAGAAAGAAACCCGGGGGAGGCCCGTCCGCCGCGGGACTCTTGCCAGCCAAGTTCCGGCCAGAAGAGCCGCGGCCGCTCTCTTGAAGGAGAGCTGGGCAAAAGGCCCGGGGCCTTGCAGAGGGGGGCGTCCCCGCTTTAAGGCCTGCAGAGCCGGGTAGGGAGACGGGCACGGAGGCGCGAAGGTCCAGGAGAAGCGGGGATTTGGGGCTGCTGATGCTGTCGCCTGCCTGCCTGCCTGCCTGCCTGCCTCGACAGTTTCTCTGGTTCTTTGCTGCAGGGATCAGCTTGCAGGTGGATTCCCTCACCGACCATTCCTGCTCGGCCGAATCGGACGGGGAGAAGGGCCCGTGCAGGGCGGGCGACCCGCTCTGCGAGTCGGGCTCGGAGTGTAAGGACAAGTACGAGGAGATCGAGGAAGACGACGAGGACGAGGACGAGGACGAGGACGACGAAGACGACGAGGCGGGCAGAGGCCTCCTCCCCAAGCCCGTCACCTCCTCTCCTCTCACCGGGGTAGAGGCCCCGCTCCTGGGCCACCCGCACGGCCAGGATTCTGCCAGAAACGCCGCCAAAGCTGCTCTGGACGCCCGGATCCCACCCTCGGGGGCCTCCCAGACTACGCAAGCCAGCAAGCCCAAGCTCTGGTCGCTGGCGGAAATCGCCACCTCGGACCTTAAGCATCCGCACCCGCATCCCCACAGCCACAGCCACAGCCTGGGCCAGAGCTGCCCGCCCTCGGCCCCGCCGCCTTCCACCCCGCACAGCGCTGCCTACTCGCCTTCTTCGCTCTTGGGGAGGCATATTTATTACACGTCGCCTTTTTATAGCAACTACACAAACTACGGGAACTTCAACGCCCTCCAAGGGCAGGGCATCTTGAGGTACAACTCGGCCGCCGTGGCCTCCAACGAGGGACTCAACCAAGCGGTCTTAACTGGCGGCGGCGGGGCTCTGAAGGCGGGCTCGGAAAACTCGCTGAAAACCATGGCGGGCCACCTCGAACAGCATTACAAGCCTCCCAGTTCGGATCCCAAGAAAGGTAGGTAAACTCTTTGTTGCTCGTTTTTGCTTCCGAGTGGGAAAAGCAGGCGGCCTTCCTGATTCAGCCCACAAGATCACCCAATAAGAATGGAGGGGGGGGAGTAGACTGTCCATCGATTGACCGGGGGGGGGGAGAGTGGGGATGGGTGTCAAGCCTTTCCATTGCTTAAGAAGGCAAAGCAAAAGGGCATGTCCGCAGCATCAGCTCCTTGAGATGCCAATGGCCTAGCCTCCGCTTTGTTTTAACCAAGCCCTTGTCCTGGGCTGCGATCCTAATCAAGATTTTTGCAGGAAAAATCGAAGGCAAGAGGATTGTCCTTCTAGTAATCAATAAGTTAGGAAGGAAATGCAAATACGTCTTTCCAAAATTAGTGAAACTAGATTGGCGAAAAAAGAAAAACAATGAGCAAACAAAACTTGGAGTCTAAATTGTTTTTAAAAAGTGCTTTACAACCAGTGCTAAAAACCCATTTTTTAAAAGTTATGTCACGAATCCTTATACCTGAGAAATGGAAAGATGCACAGATAGAAGGCCAGCCTGGTAAATACAGTACATTTAATATTTCTAAATCTCAGATTTTGGATGGAGGAAATGTTAATAGTAGTAAATGTGATCCGTAGTTCTAGCAGCAATAAGGCTCATCACCATCACTTTCTGAAACAAGCAGAAGTTTTGACAGTCGGTGGGTGAGTAAATTCTCTGCAGGGAAGTGTGCATGAGATTTCCTCCCTAAGTATATTTAGTCAGAAGCTTGTCAGGGTGGGCTATTAAACTTTTGAACGCACAGGATTGCAGCTTGAACCATCAGGCCAGATCTAAGGGTGGTGTCCTGTCGCCCTAAGAACTCTTATGAGCGTGCTTAGCTTTTAAACAGGAGATCATTAGGAAAGGTGGTCTCCCAATGAGCAATTATACCCCTCCCCTTAAATCTCCATCAGCTGAGAAATGATGCCATAGGGGCAGGCCTTTTAAACACTCAGCTCTGAGCTTTTGTGCAAGAAGGGGCTGGCTGTGCCCAGAGTGAATAATCTAGTTAGCCAGCTGTGTCCTGTGACTAACTGACGCTTCTATTTTGACAGACCCCACTGAAATGTGCACAGTAGGAGTACAACCATTCCTATAGAAGGGCAATCACACAGCAGCCAGGCAAGTAAGTGAGACCCATATTCTTTTTTCTTTTTGCCTTTTATTCTGTTGCACTAGTTAGGGGGAACATTTGGCATCAGGTCCTAAGACACCTCACCCACCCTGTAAATGGGCTTAATGTTCATTTCTTGCTCCGTCACCAAAGAGTAGAATGGTGACCAACAACCTCCAAGACCCACGCATTTTTACCCTTTGTGTTTCACTTTGCAGAAAACAGTTTAGCTGTTTTATATGCACATCACCTTCCCATAAAATGGTCCCTTTTGAATGGGTACTTAAATTAGACTTTTTTAAAATGTTATTTGCAAGTTAAAGATATAAGGGAGTGGGCAGTTATTGCACAAGACCTCACTGAAATGAATGCTGGGGGGGGGGGGCTGTGGGAAGAGAGAGTCATGCTCGCTTTGCAACCCAGCCAGAATTGATCTCATTGTCCTCTTCCACTATTTGAAGTAAGCATGTAAAATAATAGATGCAAGAAGCCTTCGTTGTTATATTGCCAGTAGGGAATGAAGGAGAACTTCCTACTTCTTTGAATTTATTTATTTACAAATTTCAGTTTAGGCACCCCCTGACTCCAATTGATTCTGGGTGGCTGTATAATAAACAGTACCTACATAGACCTTAAATTTAAGGAACTATGCATCAAAATAAGCCCTTAATTTATCTGGAATACTGATGTACATTTCAAATAGCAGAGGCAGACAATGAGATAGATCTTGGCCAGGTTCCAAAGAGTATCTGCATTCATTACCTAGGTTCATTCCCCATCTATTTCCAAGAAACTGCTGCAGTTAATTTAAAAAAAAAAATCCTATAGTCAAATATTCTTTACTCCCTAAAAACAACAAATCCCCGCCACCCCAGTCCTTCTCAAGCAAGGAAGGAGAATAGCCTTTTCACTTTGCTGCCAGTTTTAACACATTCTGTGTAAATGAAAGATTGAGGATGATCTGGTGTTTTCCTTGGTCCACAGGTAGGTGTCACAATTGCTTTGAGAAAAGTCAACAAGCCATCATCTCTCCCCAAGCTAATCTATCTATCTCTATCTGTAACTCTTAACAAAACTCTAAATCCGGATCACATCTTGTGCCACTGTATAAAAGAAGACCACAGAGCACTCTTAGATCTACAGACTCTAATTATTGAACCAGAATTTTGTTGGACATTAATGTGCATTTACTGGTATAGTCTAGTTTCCCTAATGTATGTGTGATTAAAAAAGGAAAACAAAAACAACAAAAAAAGGAAATCTGTTTTTTCTCAGGATATCTTGACTTGATCACTTCATTACCACGGTATATACATATATACATATATATCTATATTCTGTAGGTGTGATAGGACTTATTGTACAAACTCTTTGTAAAAGATACACACAGTAGGGATTAATTAAAGAAACTGCAAGTACTTACAAAATGAAACATATTTGATATTTATTTTTGTAATGATATAAAATCTTCTAGTAATTTATGCAAGTTGTATTGCAATGGAATCCCAAGTCTTTTGTAAATAAATTATGCCTGGTTTTTATTTGAAACATGGATGGTTATACAATCCCTTGTTGTTTAACAAGAATTCTTTACTAATTTATATCTATAATTGTAAATAAAACAGATTAGTCTACAACAAGGTGCTGCCTTTTTATTCAATTTTACTGGTGATAAATATGCATATTTGGTAATTTATGATAATTTGCAAAGTGTTACAGATATGTTATCTTTTGAATTTATTCAGTAATGTGACTAAATAAAACTTAGCTAAATTTTAATTAATTAATTTATATAGATACACAGAAATAACCAACATTTTTCATACAAAATACTGCTTTAACCCACATTTTAGGTAAATGCACTTATTTTTTTAATCAAAAAGTAAAAACACTCTAGGAAATCCTCCCAGTAAAAAATATTCTCCCTCATTTCAAGTGCTTTTTACTCATTTCTATAATGCACCTAAGGCTTTATTTATTTATTTATTATTTTTTATAATGCATCTTGGGCTTTATTTTTTTAAAAAAAGAAACTCAACAGTCTCTTTTCTCCCACTCCCCCAGCAAATAATGAGAATTCCCATATAGTAAAATTTCAATAAAGAGACAAACAACCATTTATTTTCTTTTCCAAAGATAAATTGAGTGAATATAACTTACGGTTACGAAACAAGAATAATAGCTTCTTAGACTGCCCTTTAATCAATCATACACTTATTTTTCAAGAGGCTCATCTATTTTATTCCATGATTAATAATGTTCCGGCATGAGAGCATTATTAGATCCCAGCAGGAGAGATCCTGGATGCTTTTAGCTGCTTTGCAATGGTCAGTTGGGGTTCATTACCGGCTGATATTGAACCATTTATAAAATCTTGTCTAAACATCTGCCAGCTCAGATAGGCCGATGTGTCTGAAGATGGCAAATGGCTGGAACAGTTGATATTGACAAACGGGACTCTCTCCAGTGGCTTTTTGTTCACTGAAAATTAGTGGCCTCTGGCTCGGGGGCTTGTTAGAAAGGGCATTTGAAAGTGATCTCAGATAGTTCAGACTTCAGCCAAGGGAATGTTAACTGGATAAAGAATGTGGAGGTGTGTGTGTGTGTGTGTGTGTGTGTGTGTGAGAGAGAGAGAGAGAGAGAGAGAGAGAGAGAGAGAGAGAGAGAGAGAGAGAGAGAAATGGAAAGAGGACTGGTGGAAGGAGGGGAGCTTACAGGAAGGTTAGAAACATTTTAGGTATTTGCAGTTTAGTCCCTTGGTGCTTAGAACAGCTTAACCAAAGGATAAGTTGCTGTTGGGACAAGTTGACAAATAATGCAAGGAGGGGAGAGAGAGAGAGAGAGAGAGAGAGAGATGGAATCATCTTCTTAACATCTTACCTGAAGTTCCCACATACATAAATGACTTGGATTTCAAAATAAATTATGTTTTAAAATACATCTTTGGATTTTAGTAAGGCAGTTAAAATATGTGCAATTAAATTATTCAGGCTAATCCTTGTTTCTAGAAGTTATTCCAACTGATATTACTGCTCCCTATACAGACACAGATGAATTTATTGAAAGACTTTCCCCATCTCTTATTTTGTAACGTATGAGTGCGTTTGTTTGCACTTAAGAAATAATTTAGACTACATGATATTTTATACTGCTCTGTGGGAAACAGGCAACATCAGTCCATAGACAAATTCACCCCGAAAGCTTCAGAAAACCTCAGCTGAATGGAAATCAACTTTTATGTCAACTGAGTTAACATAAAAGAGTCTATATTAGGTTTGCATCCCTCCAATTCATTTCAGTGGTAGATGGTACCATCAGAAATTTAGTAATATTTCTACTAGCCCAGATCACAATGAGGTTTAAATTAATAACACTCAGCCCTCGTGTGGCTGGCAAAACACATTTCTTATTAGGAATGGCATGTGATGTTAAAATAATTTCATATTTAAATACAACACGGTGGTGTCTTATTTTTAAAATCCAGGCTAAAACATCTTGAAAAAAGGTTTTGCAACCCCCTCTCCCCAGCTAGGATACAAATCAGTCCTGCTAGTCAGATTATTGGGGGAAATGCTGAGACTCCTTATTTTTTTTTTAAAAAAGCCTTATTTTTAATCACACCTTTATTATTTTTATAAATAACTCAAAGCCTTGAACATATCTAATACTCCTTCCCCCTTCAGTTTTCCCCACATCGACCATGTGAGATGAGTTGGGCTGAGAGAGGGTGACTGGCCCAAAGTCACAGCCAATTTATATGCCTAAATTTGGACTAGAACTCACAGTTCCTGGTTTTTGACCCCCCCCCGGCCTTAATCACTAGACCAAACTGCCTCTTTTTCTGGGGATCTTTATAAAGAAACATTTTTCCTAAGGTCTATCACTTACCTAATAGTTTCACCTCCACTCTTCTGTCTTTTTGCCTTTCCCCCCCTCGTTATACTCTACGTTTTTTACAGGTAATGTGCACATTCCATTTGGTTTTGGTTTTAAATTCATTTTGTGGCAAAGGTTAGGAAATCTAACAACTTTCCTTTGATGATTATATGCCCATGAATGATCTCGGATCTCCATAATTTGCTCATCCCCTTGCTGGAATTTAGATCTGGGATATTTATTTATTTTTTTTCTGAAAGGAAAAGTTGGAAGACCTGAGACTGAATAAATGCTTCCTTCTTCCTTGTCACATTTGGTCGGTCGGGCGTAATCTCGGGATCTCAGCGAGAATATCAACACGGAGCGGTCCCTAATGGAAGCTCCTCTCGCCCTCCTTGCGGACTTCCTACACGGTGTAAGCGCCTTCTGAGAAGAGCAGAGGCCGCTGCCCATCTACTATGGCTAAGATTACCGGGCAGTTCTTCTGAAGTAGAACCGCACAATCTGGTGTGTATCCGCTGCGTTTTAATGAAGGTTTAATTTAGGAATACTCTACTATATCGCCCGAAGTCTCACTTCATTCTCTTTCAACGCGCCGGAGAACTTTCCGAGGGATCTCTTCCCCCGCCCTATTAATTAGACAGACTGTATGCTTTTGAAAAGTCTGGGGACGAAGAAGACAGAGACTAGCGATCACATTACCACGCGGTGCCAAAGGACAACGTGGCAATTGTCGTATTTGGCTTCTTTTGATTTCGCTTCCCCCCAACCCCAAACTCCAATGAGGAAGCCATTTAGATAATAGAATAACGGAGTTGGAAGGGACCTTGGAGGTCTTCTAGTCCAACCCCCTGCTCAGGAAGGAAACCTTAGTACATTTCAGACAAATGGTAATCCAATCCCTTCTTAAATGGCGTTAAAGAGCGGTTTCATTATTGTATTATCTCATTGCTTTGCAGCCCAGACAGTGGCCCAAATCTTTCACCATTCAACTCTCTTCCCAAGAGCCTTCTCCAATTTTCCTTTGCCTTCAGCTTCTGTTGGGTTAGCAGAACCCCTACCACTAGTTTTAACGAAATGCTAGATTCCGTGCCCGGTAGCTGCCTTCTCTGCCTCCTTCTGCTACTCTGAGGCAGAGATAAACTGGGCTAGTTGTACCAAAAGGAGTGGGGGGGGGAAGCTTGTCCCCTCCAATTTTCGCTGCTCTCTTTCTGCCCTGACTTCAAAGGTCAACAACGCGTGTTGCCCATAATAGAGAAAACTTGTTTTATAGGAAAGAAGCCGTCTGAAGGACGGAGCTTGCCTGCAGCGGGGAGGGGAAGAGCTGGGGCAGTTAGGAGACGCCTCCGCGGGCCTTTTTGTCTCCCCTCCCCAGTCAAGCTTAAGATCGTGGCCGCTTTGCTGTTTTTGGTGCTTTTGTTTGAAAAAGACCGGAACGCTGCGCGGTGGAGGGTTTTAACTCTCCAGACGAAGGCCGGGAACAGGAGGCTTCACGGATTGCTTGTAACTGAGCGCCCCCCCCCTCCAGCCGAAGATTGCTTGCCATTAAGGCGGCTTTGGAAGCCGCCGGCGCGCTTGCAATAACCCTGCAGAGGCGGTGCGCTTCTCGTCCTTTCCTAGAGTTCAGACGATCGCCTTCGCCGGCGCTGCTCCTGTGTCTCTGGACTCAATGGATTCCACGTGGATTCCATTGGATTCCGGGTGGATTCCCACGTAAAGGCGCCATTCCGTTCCCATCGACGGCAGCACCTGCTTAGGAGAAAAGCCGAGTTCGCCGAGGTTTACCCGGCAGCCGTCGGCAAAATCGGATCCTGCAAGAGCGCAACGGGATCGTGGCTGTTCTTTCAGAGGGCGCCTTTAGTTTAAGTGCAGGGCTCTGATCTCGCCTCTCGGACCGCAGCACGGTGTGTGTACTTGTGTTCAAGGGTGTCAAATCTTTATTATTTATGCAGTCCATAAAGCAGGCAGGCACACCTTTTGGGAGATGCCGCCGTTTGTCGGTCGTCCTGAATCCCGAAGCCGGACAAACGCCGAGCGAATTTATCTTAAACGTTACTTACAACTGTAACAGAGGTCAAGAAGAAAATGAGGCCGACGTTCATTTAGTTGCCCTGATTGCTTATTATCCCTGAAGGAAAGGTTAAGGTTGATGAGTTTTTTTGTTTTTTGTTTTAACCCGGGAGTAAACCGGTTGGGTTTACTGCCACAGCTTCGGTATTGTGGCATCTGATAAAGACTCCGAGAGGACTCACTGACCAATGCGCTTAAAACTGTGTTCATACAGATGGTGAAGATGACACCCCGAAGATCGCAGCAATAGACCTTTGTAATTTTGAAGACTAGACACGTGGCGGGTCCCCCCTTCTCTCTCTCTCTCTCTCTCTCTCTCTCTCTCTCTCTCTCTCTCTCTCTCTCTCTCTCTCTCTCTCTCTCTCTCTCCCCCCTTTCCACCAACCCTGGAGTGTGTGTGGGGAGATAATGCGGCTTTCGAGAAGGGAAAAGCGGTGGCAACTCCGCAGAAGGGCGTTTGTGATGACGACCCCGCGGCTCTTTTTTTTTTTTTTTCCACGGACGCGTGGATGGCTATTTTGTGCAAGTGTCGGCCTGCCTTTTCCGCTCCGTTCACACGATCCTGGCGCTCATAAAGGGACCGGATTCTCCTCCTGGGACTGTCAGGACGCCGTGGGCTCCAGAAGCCGTTTTCCAAAGCGACGCCTTTAGCCAGCTGCTTATTCCACTTGAGCCCCTCGAACCGTTCCCC